ATTTTTGTCGTGAAAGGTTTATCTGGTTGATATTCGAATAGTTGCAATACAGTAGGAAGATTAATAAACCTTTATTTTTTGAAAACGTGGTATGAATAAACCAAGGAATAAAAAAGAGAGAAAATTTATAATAAAGAAGAAGACCGTAGGAATTGCGTTTGGTTAACAGAGTAGTAGTCCACAATAATGACAATGATGACAATGATGATTGTTTTGTTTATTAGAATTGAATTTATATGTGTGAGGATTGGACGTGTTATCGGTTTGTTTATTGGAATTGAATTTATATGAGTGAGGATTGGGCGTGTTATCGGAGCAATTGTATGAAGAATTGGAAGTGTTTACAACGAAGAGATTAAAAATACATGTGTGAATACCGTAGGATTGTTTACAATTTAAAAAAGAGAGATAATTTATGATACTATGAAATTGGTTAGAAGTTTTCGCGAAATTATAATTCGCGACACCATCCAAAGTTTGATTTTATATCTTTGTTCTACGATTATACACGGAAAGAGAGTTAACTGCTTAGGGAAATGATGAAGAAATGCATGAGGGAGCATCTGAAGGAGGATCCGTGTCGAAAAACCCTTAATTTGATCCTTGATCAGGAATTTCATCAATGAGAAAAAAATGGTTTTTTTGAGGAAAATTCGAATAACATTTTAATTTTTCAACTATACCATTCAATATTTGATAATTTCTTGTCCTTACATTGGCTTCAAAGAAAGTTAAAAACTGATAATAAATCTCACAAAAGAATCGATGAAACGATTTTCCCATTCGCGATAAAAGCATTTCATGTTTTTAGATCAAAATTGAGAGTACCTTATAATTTATGAATAGACTTTTTCTACCTTTAAAGCAAATGATTTGTAGTTTTCCATAAAAATTCGTTGAAAATTGTTCAAATACTTTGATTTTATATCTTTGTTCTAAGGCAATACTGAAAAGTGATATGATTACTAAGGGAAATAGTTTAGAAAAATGAAGGATCCGTGTAGGAATGCTTTTAATGTAATTTTAAAAGGTTAATTAAGATTTGAAATATTCCTTAGTGATTTCACTCAAATGGAAAGTATTTGTGATTATTTCTAGTGGAAATAATTATGCGATCTAAAAAATATGATAATATTTTTGTATGTGTTAGTTATCAGCAATTGTTGATTTCATCTGTAAAATGGAGTTTCATTATCAAGATTATGGTGGAAGGTCAATAATCAGTACAATCAAATGAAGTTAACAATTTAATTATTTTTAACTCAAATACGGTTTTTTGCCATTTTAATAAGAAAATCGTTTTGTTGATTTTCTTGTGAGTCTTAATATATCTTTAATTTATCTTGGAATAAATATAAGAATTAAAAAATGATCAAATATTGAATAGTATATTCTTATTAATTAAGAATATCAAAATATCATCCAATTTTTCTCGACTGGTTTAATAATCTATTGCACAATTTAATTTTATCACATTTTTAGGTCGCATAAATGTTTCCATTAGAAATAATCACAAATACTTTCCATCTCGAGTGAAATCACTAAGGAATATTTCAAATCTTAACCTTTTAAAATCACATTGAAAGCATTTCTATACGGATCCTTCATCCTAAGTAATTATACAACTTTTCATTACTGCCTAAGAACAAAGATATAAAATCAAAGTGTTTGAACAATTTTCAACAAATTTCTATGGAAGACGAAAATCATTTGCTTTAAAGGTAGAAAAGTTTAAAAGAGAATTATTTGTCTGTGGAGGGAAATGATGACAGTGGACTTTTGGAGACTCTGAAGAAGAGATGTCGAGACGTATTAAACTGATCCCGACCGCCCTTCTACAGCAATTCACGTATGTAGGAAGGGTGGTGTATTTTATTATTATAACATTGTTTGCTTGTTTTATCACCAATCAACTTGCAATAATAGTTATACTACCTTAAGGAATGTCAAAAATCCAAGTATGAAATTAATTTGCATTGAGAATGATATGAGGTAAACGATTTGCAACTGAAAGTATGTGGTCACATTTGAAAAAAAAAATATCACACAACCGAATGAGAAAATCGTTTCATTGATTCTTTTGTGAGATTTATTATCAGTTTTTAACTTTCTTTGAAGCAAATTTAAGGATAAGAAATTATCAAATATTGAATGGTATAACCTTATTAATTATCAGATAAAAAATTAAAATAGTTGTCGATTTTTTCTAAAACAAACCATTTTCTTCTCATTGATCAATTAATTGATTTCTCATTGAAGAAATTCTTGATCAGGGATCAAATTCGGGGATTTATCGACACAGAATCTTTTTCAGATTTTGCCTCATGGAATTTCATCATTTCCCTAAGCAGTTAACTCTCTTTCCGTGTATAATCGTAGAACAAAGATATAAAATCAAACTTTGGATGGATCTGATTCTGTCATTGATCAACTCTACTTTGTCGCATTCTTTGTTTATCAGCTATTGTTTATTTGATCAGAGGTGTTATGGAACAATAAGAATATACGATTCAAAGAATATAAACACAAAAATGCTATATGGTAGCCAACAAAGCATTTATGATATTTCCTCAATAAATTCCTTTGATTATTTCATAGACTAACAAACATTCATGGAAATTTTCAAAATAAAACAAAACTGTGAAATGGAGCTCATTAGGTTTTTAAAATGAGTGCAAGTTCTTAGTGCTTTAATTTTCATTAACACTTCAAATCTTTTACTGTGTAATGAATTCTTAATCTTATAATTAAGTAAATTTAACTTTAGCAAAGATTAAATAATCATAGATACTTTGAAATATATTACAAGTAAATGTTATGTTAATATATTTTAAAATAAAAGAACAAAAGTACCGTCAAATATGAATTGAATTATTCTTACTATTTCATTGAATAATCTTTCATGTTTTTCTAAAGGAAATTTTGAAAATATGATGAAAATTATCTTTATTTTAAGACACAAAATCATTTCTCTTGCACAATTGATTCGTGAAGAATTGAAAATGAAAATTGTACTCAATTCAAATGCCAATGCATTTGTCGGTTTTTTTTTAGAGATTAGCCAACATAGCAATTATTCGTTTATACATACCTCTCCGACTGATTCCGCCAATGATTATAGCTTATCTCAAAAGCTAAGCTATGTATATCTAAGTTCATATTAACTTATAAAAACTGAAATAACGAATGGCTCAATTCTAATAACCATAACACTTTGTATTGATTATTCTACGAGAATAACTATGGCAAATTCAGAGCTAATAGAAATATCAAAGCAATGACTTTTGGACGAGCGCACCTGTCACATTAAAGTAATCGATCCGTTAATTGGTGACATTGAATATTGTGCCGTGGACAGATCCGTCAACCTGATTTATTAACATTGGGTGGTATTTGTGGATCTATTATGGTTGTGACCGTTAACGGAGGATATGGGTTTGATTCCGGAAAAAGAGACTAGGAAAGACTATCACATCGAAGGAGGAAAGCGCAAATTACCCATGAGAGGGCCAAGGTGTATAGCATTTTACTGATTATTGAATATCTATTTTTCTTGACTGGAATGTAAATGATTGCTTGCAGGGAAAAACGAAGTTTGTGAAATTTGGACGGAATTTTATTGAGTGATATCAAAAAGTAAAATCAGTTTTTTATTTTCATTTCAAAGGAAATGCATTAATAGCTCAGAAAAAGTTAAACCGATGAAATTAGCGCCAAGAAGTGATTGTGTTAATATTCGATATACGATCATTTGAATATGATATCAAATCTTTGAGAAATATTATTCTAATAAGCTGAATTATTGTATTCTAATAATTCGGAGACTAAAAAGTTGCGCACAATTCTTTGTTGTGCAATTACTTAAACAATTAAATTTTGTGAATTGGAAATATAAAACTTAAAATAAGTCATAAAAACCTACTAAATAACAAATAAGACAATGACTTCAATCAGTGTAACTCAGTTTTTGTTGAAGTCGAAAAAAATTAAATTTCCATTTCCCCCTTCTTTTCAAGAATATACCAATCTATGGCAGCGCTATTCCTTATATTCTTGTTTGCTGAACTGATCGGTTGTGATCTGGTTTATTTTTCGCTTATTGTTTATATGTTTGTAGTGAGAATGCTTATTTGTCTGATTTTCAATGATGAAATTTTGAAATTTTTCAGTCAAATTATTTTATTTCTCTGTTTTCTCTTGCTTTTCTACCTTTTATATAATCATTTGAACATAATGAAATATTTAGCTAATGTGATTTATGCATAAGCTTATATAATATATTAATACGAATTTCATACTCTAAAACTAATAGATCAATTATTTCATATAGTATTTGTTTTTTTTTTTTTTGTCGACTAGTTATAATTCATGTGATTATCATGTGTGTTATAGCAAACATAATAAATGTCCATATCTTACAGATTTTATTTATTCATTCATTCATTATTCTATGAAGCAAATTTAACATTACCATGTTTTTTGATTATTTCATTACATTAATGCTTTGGTTTGTAATGTTTTTTTTTTTCTGTAATGAAATTATGAAAATCGGCCATCTTCATCTTTCTTCTTTTACTATAAACATGCTATTTTTTATTTAGATAGTGAATGTTTGCATAAATATATGTTATTCCATCGTTTCTTATTGCTGTACAAATTCCCCTTAAATGGTTCAGCGGAAAATACATAACTTTATTTTGGAATTTTGAATTTTCCGTTCCTAGAAAGTATGTATATTATTACAGGAGTGAAAAAAATTGGCCCGTAGTAGTTTTAAACATGTTTTATCTTTTGATGTATGTTGCCGATAATCAGACATTATTGCTTTTTCTTTAAATATTAATTGTTTCCTCTGGCGGATATTAAGCTGGAAAAAGCATAGGTGGATACGCCACTATTCATGAGCTTTTTTTGGTTTTCTTTTATATAATTTAATAAAATAGTTGAAATTTCAGAAGGTTTTTCTTGACGATTGGCCGGCATATATTGCTGCATTTTTGATGTCCGATCCTCATGATTTGACAAAAACGTGGGGTGACATAGATTCGGCGGTTCGTCGGATAGCAGCACGCTGTGAAGTTTACAAGGATCCTACCGATCGGGTATTTTCTGAAGCAACAGAAGCAGGAAAGCTAGTAGAAATTAAAGAATCATTTGAGGAAGAAGCGTTACAATTTCGTCTAGCTGTTATTCGTCAACGCTTGAAACAAGAAAAACGTGACAGCTGGCTTCGACCAAGTGCTTACTATTATATGGGTCTAGTGAAGTATTAAATCTCCGAAGTTATTAACTGACCTAAGCTATTTACTTATACATCCTGCATCTGGCAATGCGTTGTTTTGTCACAGTTGGAAGTACAGAATTTGATGCATTAATACGTGTGGTAGTTGAACGGAAATTTTTGGAATCGTTGAAAGAAATTGGTATTACCGATTTACTCATACAAATGGGCAAAGGTAAAATAGAGCTTGAAAAAGGTAATCATTATGGTATAAATATCAATTACTATCGTTACAAAGATGATATTTTACAAGATATTGCTGAAGCAGACTTGGTAATTGGACATGCTGGTGCTGGAACATGTCTTGAAGTGCTTCGATATAAGAAACCACTTGTGGTAGTGGTTAATGAAGAGTTAATGAATAATCATCAGTGGGAACTTGCTGAACGCTTACAAGAGTTGGGCCATATTTTCTGCACCAGACCAAACGATTTAGCTGAAGTTATCAAATCACCTGAAATTTTCAAACGTAGACCATTTGCAGGACCTGATTATTCAAATTTAGCAAATATTATTCTTAGACATATTGGAATAGACATATAATTAATTTCTTTTTTCTTTTCAGATTTTCCAATTTGATACCATTTGCCTACCATTTATTGATTCAAAAATGACTGAATTTTGTAAAATTCTTTGTGTTCACTTCCATTCCTCTCCAGTACTTATTCTTTCAATTTTATTATTTAAAAAAATATCAATTAATCATTTATCAGACGAAAATATTTGCTTCAAAACTGCTGATTTTGTGCTTTGTTAATTTTGATTAATTTTCACATTATCTTAATTTTTTAAAAAGTATCCAGATGAATTTAAAGATATGAGCAGTTGTTTTTATCCTGAACTCGTTGTCAATTTCAATGCTTTGCACTGTTATTAGCCATTTATTTGAAATTTTGCTTTAATTCGGCACGTTGTCATCGTTGTGATATGTTCGTCTGATTGAATTTGGTTATTGTGTCTCAATATTTTGTATTTTATGAAATAAAATTATAGATAAATTTGAATGGTTCAAACATTATTTCACGATAACATCACTGTTTACTCCACTGATACAAATGGACAGACAACTAGTAAAAGGTTTGATTTCTGTTTCATTCATTTTTTTTTTTTTATTTAATGTAATAGATATTACTAGTATGATGCTAACAAAAATATATTGAGTAGTGGAACGTAAAATATTAAAGTACACTTACTTTCCCAATAAGTGCTACGTTTCTCAATTATTTAAATTTCTTATGTATATACATTACACTTGGTTGTTAGATTTGAAAGTGGGATATAATTTACAAAAGAGGATTCACCAAAACTTTGTCAGATATTGTTTTTTTTCAGTTGCATAATTTTGAATCTGAAAATAGATGAACGACAGAATAGAGCAGAGAAGGTTAGAATTTCTTTTTTTTTTTTTTTTTTTTAAATGATCATTCTGGATTGTAGTTCTAGTAACCAAATGTTTATTTTTCTTGATTATGTCGTCATTGTTATAGTTCTGTTTAATTAGATTCCTTATGTAGGTCTGAATTTAGATTAGAGTTTTATGTGCACGAGTTGGGATATACCTTATTTTCAAGTTATTCAAGTTTAAGAAAAGAAAGATGTATATATCAAGCTACTTCATATCATATGTTCTGATTAGTTCTCACAAAAATTGTCCACTTGAATTTTCAGGAATTCATATTTTGTATATCGCGAGATGATGATCCTTTGTTTATATATACACTGTCACTTCGGCGATCTGAATATGAATTGCTGAAACGAGAACAAGAATTAGATGCTGAATTCGATGCATTTCCTAAGAAAATAATCGACTTTGTTTCTTGCCTGGATAGTAGCAATGGATCTCATCTTCGGGGAGGCCTTAACGATAATAATGCTTTATTCAAGTATACTTTTTACTTCAGTTTCACCAAATTATTTACAATAAAAAGATTTGCTGAAAATATATATTAGATTATTAAAACATTAATGTGGTAAAGGAAAGATCAAATCAGCGCCCTCAAAAGTCATAATTCATTGACCATAAATGTAAGAGCAGATAATAAGGAATATTTCAACACATTTTTTGAGATACTTTGAATTAAATAAATATGATTTTTGATGATCCTGTTTATAAGCTGAATAATAAGAGCTGCATTTAATAAAGTTGATTTACATTTTCAGTATTGCAGGTTTGATCTAGTCGGAAAAATGGGCTTTAAATGGGTTACGGTTCTTTCTTTACCTCTTCGAAGAGTAACTGATAAAGCTTTAATAACGTATCTTGTTGAAAAAATCATGAAGTATAAGGTGAGTACTGGTTCGTGTTTTAATTAGATGTTTTTTTAAATTTGATGCTATTGAATTTTTTTTCGTTTCTTTATACATTCTAATCGTATAATTTAATTCGTCAATTTCTTTTGTTGCTCAGTTTTCAGGCGTGTTTAAAAGAGCTGGATACTTTGCGTGATTTGTTATTATCGGAACAAGCGGTATGTTAATATTTCAAATTATTAGCATATTTGTTTGAATTACTGGGTGTTTCTTGTTAATGTTTTAAAACTTTTTTTTTTTTTTTTGAATCATATCTAAAGTAGGATATAGGAGCCTATTGCATATATATATATATTAATATTGTATCTTTTCTTAGTTGGTGTAGTCTCTAGACAGACATTAACTGTCTTTGGAATGAACTAGCTTCTAAATATTAATATTATTTATAGGAAAACAAAAATTTGCGAAATTCACTGCTTTCAAAAGAAAAGATGCATTCAGATTGCCTTCAGAAATGGGAAGAAGAGCGTAATGAAGTAAGAATTTGGTTTTTTTTTTTTTTTATCAATGAAGTGTATTCGGTTTTAATATGTTTTCTTCAGAGTTAATCTTGCGTTTACTTATTGAGAGAAAGAAGAAAAAGGATAAAGAGTTGTTTCCACTGGAATGACACTAATATATAATCGTAATCATAGATGGAAGATATTTTCATTCGATCAAAATTTCTTTATTTTTGGTTTACATCATACTTTTTTTTGTTAATCTTTTTTATTCAGATTATTGAAAGCAAACATAAGCTTAAAGAATTGAACGAGGAACTCGAAGCAGATAAGCAGGTATCGGTTTTTTTTATACCTCTGGTGTTTTAATTATTAAGATTTTCTTCATTATTTCCATTTTCTCTTTCTGTAGTAAATTTCTTACTATAACTGATGTGTGGTTTTTAGATGCTTACACAAGAAGTAAGCACTTTAAAGGAAGAAGTAGTCGATTTTCGTGATAGAATCGATGATCTGATTGAACAGGTTAATCACTTGGAAGATAGAGTGCATGTCCTGACTGAAGAACTCGATGTTTCTGTATGTTTGCTTTATTTGGTTAACTGACTGTATGTTTTTTTTTTTTTTTTTTTTTTTTTTTTTTTTTTTTTTTTTTTTTTTTTTTTTAGGAATATTTATCATATACACATCAAAAGTTTAGTAGGAAACTGCAATAAGTCTTTTCTTCAAGAAATGATAGAATTCTCTAGGAATTAGAGAGGACATAATATCTGAAGATTTCAAATTTAAGTTGTAGTAGATGGAAAACACCTTTCAGTAAGGAATGGAGTTTCTTTGTTGATGCAAAGAAGATAAAATAGGTTTTCAGAATATTTTCTTGATTGGTTCGACGAAATATGTTTTTGATAATATTATCATCCTTTGAATGATTTCCGTTCAGGAAAACCAGTTACATGATTTGGAACAAAAAAAAGAAGAGTTGCAACAGGAACTAAATGATAGAGATGATCAAACGCATAGCTGTATAATACAGATACGTGATCTGAAGGATGCAATAGATGATGCTGACAGAGTGAATAAAGAATTACGCCAGAAATTACAATTTGTTAACGAAGAGATTAATCATTGGAAAAGCGAGCATGATAAAGCTGTTAAGATTATTAAAAAACTTTATAGTGTAAGTTTTTATCATATATAATTTCGTCCTTTGTAAGAGAGGAAGTCATTTTTCATAATTATTGGAATGCTACTGAACACTTTTTTTAGAGATATTGGACTATTATTACTGAGAATTTTTCTCAGGAAGGAAATAATAGTTATTGCTTGTAGGTGGACTAAACTGATTGAAGGATTCTAGTTATCATTAATATCTTCATTTTCTATCCATAAATTTTCTAGATGAGAAACGAAATTTACTGCAACAGTGAATATTTTTGAGAAATGCGTAGTAAAAATCGTAAAAATGTAGTAAAAAAGAAATAGACGCCTATTAATTCTATTAATATTTATCTTAATGTAGTTTTATTTATACTGATAAAAATATTCAGACAAATGTTTCCGTTTATTTTGTAGGAAAAAAACCGTCGTGCTGCTATTGGTGATGGTATAATGATAAATGAAAAAATGAATGATATGGAAAAGGATTTGGAGGAACGTAAAAGAGCTATTGATGCTTTAACTGACTCAAATGCACAGTTAAGAGCAAAGGTTTCATCTTCTCTTTTGTTTTTCTTTGAAAACTGACTGTTTTTTTAATTATCTAAATATCTAAAAGTTTTTTTTTTAATTATCTAAATATAGTTTAGATAACTTTTATGGTTTTTTAAGTTATTTCTTTGATTGTTATATGTCAATCGTAAACATTATCAAATATTTTTTGTTTATGGAAGCCTATACCTTTATATATTCTTTAAATATTTTTTGCAGATGGATAATCTGACAACGGAATGCGAGCAGGCAAAGAAAGATGCGGAAATGTGGAAAGTTAAATGTGAGAAAAAAGAAGCATGTGAGTTTGTACTTTACTTGTGAACACAAGAAAACCTTTTTTGTGGGTACTTTTTCATCCTATAATTTAATGAGTTTCTGGACAGCAATGAGTACAGTTGAATTTTCGACAAGACTAACTTATGTACATTAATTTTATTATTTGTTATTTCTCAGGAAGTTAGATTAATTCTTCGATTGATCAACTTTTGCATTGCGGATAACTAATCATTGATTGATAAATGCAGCGAATTTATTGCTTTTTAAATATTCTCAAAGAAAATGTTTTGCATGTTATCTCTGAAGCTTTGCAAATTTGAGATGTATTTCAGTAATCAGTGATCTTATTCAATGCCGGCGATCACCTATCATTACTCCACCACAGCAACAATCAAATTTAACTTATGCAAATACTCCGCCCACTATCTATCCTCGTGTTTTAGGAGTGGTATGCTAATTCAGACTTTGTAAGACCAGTCGAAAAAATTTTATTATCTGAAAGAAAAAAACTTGCCTTCAGTGGAATATTTTTGAAGAAAAAAAAATTTTTTTAATTTGAAAGAAAGAGTTTCCTTGTCATGCTGTTGTTTCTATAATTAATAAATTCCAGACAAATTGGACTGCTCAAATAACTACACCTTTACGAAATATGGGAACTACCATAAAAACTTCAGATCAGCAGAAAGAAAAGTACATTTTGGATATATAAATTGAATATAATATGCTATCCGTTCATGATTCTTAAAGATTGGATAAAAATAGATTTTAAATGGTCAACTAAAAATAGAACAGTTTGCGCAAATTCTGATATTTTTTCGAGATTTATGATGAAGGAGGTAATGAAAAAAAAGAATAGTTCTGATATATGCATTTATTTTTTTATATATGATTATTTTTGATTTTGTTTGTGAAGCTATTATGAGACTGTGAGGATTACATTTTTTTTTTTTTTTAAATTCCATGTATTTTCAGTCAGCTAAACTCATTGGCTATAACACCACCAACTGAAGTACAAACGTCAGCAGGAATTGGAAGAGCTAAAACTTAGATATTAATGTCGAAATTGTGATTACTAATTGCACTGATTATATTTATGCCTGAATTGTGATCTATTGTATGATATTTTGATGGTGCCATTATTTCGGATATCTTGCAAAAATAAGATTTAATCCATTAACTGATTTTCAAATACTTTCCTTTTTACCGTTACTAATGTTCCTTGAAATTTGATTGCATTCGTTTTCTTAAATACTTTTGATAAGCCATATCCCAATGATTGTAAACATTTTTGGGTGTAGACATAGCGATTCTTCCCTTAATACTCGACTTAAAGCTAATATTCTTTGAATTTACTTGGAAAACTTTTCAGTGTCACTAATACCTGTACATTTATATTAAAAATTGCGCGTTATGATTTCACTACACTGTATAATATATGGAATGAAACTTCTAGAACTTTTAGAAATATTTTAAATGCATTAATATCTTTCTTCATGTTATATCATCAAGAAGACGTTTAAAAAAAGTAGGTATAAACGCTTATTCTGTCAATGTAAATGTTGTTAAGATTTTTAAAAATTCAAATTACAAATTCCAGAAACAGTTTTGAATTTCTATATTTTCAGTGTATGATGCATAGAATGACATATAGTATCTTTAAATTTTATCATTTCCAGATTATTTATCATATTAGCTATTAGTCTAAAATATCATCAGCCATCGGCTACACATTTACTTTTTAGTATATTTTAAATGATACAGAAGAAGTAAAGGATAAAATCATTTCGAATCTTTTAATCGTTTCAGTTTAATTGACTGATCTTGATTTTTATTATGATATCAGAATGATAGTGTTGAATTCTAATTCTGATCATTCCAATATACTATTGCAACAAGATTCAAATGATTAACATTTTATTTCCTTTTTTTTTTTTTTTTTTTCAAATAAAATTTCATGTCTTTAGATATTTAGTCTTTAAAAATATCGAATAAAAATTTTTCTTTTTTTGTTGGGAAATATTTAAATTTTCTACTAATTCCTGGAAATATGTAAAAATATGAGAGCAATAGTAGTATTATCACAATATCCACCAGATAGCACCGATAATTATCAAAATTGTTATTGTAGTCTTGATAGTTTGTCATACTTCTTCCAATACTATTGGTATCATTTCAGCATTCTTAAATGTTGAAATATATTTGGATTTTATTTTTCTTACAAACAAAACATTCTCCAACAACAAAAAAAAAAAAAAACTTTATTTTTTTCTTTGCAACTCTTTTTTCGTTTCTTAATTTCATAGTAATTATCAATTTAAAAAAAAAAAATGAAAATGTTAATGCTATATATTTGATAGATAGATTACTTCGAATCATTAATACCTTGCTAAAGATATATTCGCACAAAAAAATCTAACTTAAACTTATAACTTATCACTACCAGTTTAACATTCTGTACAGATAATGCTATCCTACTAATTCACTTTATCATTATTACTTATTAAATATCTGTATAAAGTTGTTTCTTAAAAGAAAAGATGAAGTAATTTGAATGAAAATAGCAAGACAGAAACTGAAATTTGCATTTGTTATAAAAAATTGAAAAAAAATAAAAAGCAAAAAAACAAAAAAATAAATCAACTGTTTACAAAAATAATAATCAGAAACTCATTAATAAAATATCTGATAACTGTAAAAAACATATTTTGCTAGATTTAATCAACATATAATCCTTTGACATTATTACCATAATGAAGTAATATTTTTGTATGATTTTAAATCCATTTTTATAATTAACTATCAATAAATATATAAATTCTTTAATTGATCGATAGTCACCAAAAAATAAAAATAATAAAAGTAAAAATCTAACAAAAACAAAAATTATTTTGGCACATTATTTGAGTTTGGATTCTTATCTTTCTAATATTTCTATCATAAATTTATCAGTTTTAAAATATTTCAAATGTAAATAAAAGTGAAAGTGAAAAAGAAAAAAGAACAAAAATTTGTTTTGAAAATGAAAGTAAATCATTGAAAACAAAGTGAAATATAGGAATTTGCTACTACTAAATTAAATATTATTTTATTTCTCACTTATCTCCTATAATTATCCAAATGATTTTCAAGATTTAAATCAATAATAACAAAATAGATAAAAATATTGAAAGAAAAATTAATAAAAATACTGTAAATCTTAAACATATAAAATCAGTAAGCAAAAACGATGTTTTTTACTACACAATTTCATTTTTAATTATTATAATACAAAATTTTTCGTTCATTTTTAATTTCTCTTCCATATCACAGTTTATTTCATTTAATTAATTGATATTACTTTAACAAATATTCAAAAAATATGAAATATATATGTGAGATTCTTGAAAATTTTGCTTCTTTCTCCTTTTTATGCTTTCTCTTTTATTTTCTGCCAAGAAAAAACGCTTATTTCAAGTGAACTACATTCCTTTACTTTAACTAATTAATTAATTAGCCTAATTAATTTATCTAATTTATCAAGTTATCATCATCATTTTGCTTATAGCTTCATAAACAACAATTCCGAGAATGTAAAAGTGCTAAATGTCAAAGTTTTGTTTATAAAAAGGCATAGGGTACTGGGAATAATTAATTTATTTCGAAACCTTATCATCAGATCTCCCATATTTACTCTCAGTAGTTTTCAATCTCAGACAACTAATTCAACTTTTAATTTATATCTGATAATGCACTGATGATGATAATCTTCATGTGATCATCTTTACATTATCATTATCATTATCACTATATCATTATTATCATCATTTTCTTGTGATATTATTAATAACACATTTATTTATTATGTTTAAAAATGAATATGTAAAAGATATGATTTAATAAAAAAAGAAGTTACTTTCTCTTTTGTAATTTCTTGAAATATTTTGATATATATAATTCAATATTATTGTTGTTTGTTTGTTTAATTTACTTATTTATTTATTTCAAATCAGTTAATTACCTCCTTCTTAAATGATTAAATTAATTAAACTCATTCCTTCCAAGCATTCCAATTAAAATTAGCGGAATAAGTAAATAATTGAGCAACTTGGTAATTGATGGATGGACGAACTGATAAGAATGATAAGGATGATAATGACTGCAGCAACGGGGTCCACTGCTTATAATGTTATTGTTATTGTTGTTGTTGTTGTTGTCGTTATTGTTATCATAGACTATTAAGACAGAAGATGGGAAAGAGGGAGAGAAAGAGAGAAGCTCTGTTCCTTATCTTATATTAATCTTTATCTTTCTTTTTCATCTCTTCTCTCTGCTTTCCTCTTTATCTTTTTCTCCCTGTCTTCTCCCTTTCTCTCTGCTTTTTTTTTTTTTTTTGCAGAATGAAAACAATTCTCTGTCCTCTAATATTTTCGCGTGCTGGTGGGAATTTCAACTTGTTTTCAGGTAGTTTCTTTCTTTTTTTTTCTTTTGTTCTTCAAGTCTTAATTAACGTAGAAGACTACACTCCAAATTACAATAATTAAAATTAAAGATTAGTAACATTAAACAATGATTATCAAAAAATAATGTTCAGTCATCCTTTCTTCATTTTCACATCCTTTTCTCCCTTTCTCCTTTGTCGTCCTGTTTTCCTCTCATTTTTTAAATGAATCTTACATTTTCCTAAACAATAATACCTGGGAAAATGCAAGTTGCTGAATCTTTTTTATCGGACAATCCAAATTTACTGTCATCGTTAAAAAAAATTGGTCATTTTTTAAACATTCGGGAAGTTTTTAAATTCTGTCTTCTTTTTTCTACCCTCAACATTCCAAATTGCTGATTATAATGTAATACTTGTTAAGGTTAGGCTTAGATCTTTTTTTTTTTTTTAAATTTTGCAATATTTTATAGATATTTGGAGTAATAATGTTTTACTTTAGCTAAATGGATACGTTATATGCAAACAGCAACGACAGTATTAGGCGAACCACCACGACCAAAGATCTGTGGTACCTTTCCAGGTCCAAAGTCAAAACGAATGCAAGTTGAAATGGATTTACAACATGTTAGTTGTTAAATTTAATTATTTCCTAGAATTTGATTTTATTTGTAAATTATCGATCCTTTTTGCATTATTATGTGGATATTTTGTTATCTGTTTGTATAAGAAATCTGCCCATTAAATGTCTCTTTTTCCCCATGTTCTCCACAACTTTTAACTGATCATTAAAATTTGTTGCTAAAATTGCTTAACATTTTACCGTTCCAGCAAGCAGCTTCGGTGAAATGTTTCATTGATTACGAGAAATCAAAAGGGAATTATATCGTCGATGCAGACGAAAATGTCCTTCTTGATGTGTATATGCAAATTTCTTCATTAGCACTTGGTTTTTCTTTTCTATTTATTATTTTTTTGGACTAATTTTTAGTTTCGAAATCATCCAAGGTCAGGAATTTTGTTGAATGCTTCATCACAAGTGCGCTATTTTTTTCAGGTTATAATCATCCTGATTTGGTCAAAGCTGTTTCAGATCCTCGCTTTGTGGTATGTTAATTAACATTTGTTGTAATTATGAAAAAAGCTCTTCATTTTATATTTAAATCGTATTTGTCAATTCTTGAAACTATTTCAAAAATCATAAATTGATTCAGTTGTTACGTTTTATCCTCGAAGTTGGCGAGTTTATCTACGTGAAACATAAAAAAAAAATGAATTTCAGACAACGGCAGTAAGCAGACCAGCACTGGGATCTTTTCCACCTACTTTTTTTGTAGATGCTATGAAAAATTCTCTAAGTTCGGTTAGTGATTTCTTTCATAATAGCCCATCAACTAAAATAATTCCGAAAAATCGGTAATATCCACTACTTTAAGAGATCAAATAAAAGTAGCTTCGTATTTAGAAAATGATAAAGCAAACGAAGCCTAATTAACTCACAGAGATGTTTGAATGTTCATTCGGCTAAATGCTAGGATCAGCAAGGATCACTGCACACATATGTAAACATTTCAGTTACTGGCACCTAATTAATTTTCGTAAATGAGATTTGCTAATAAAGTAAAGTTGAAATTATTAATATAGGTTAGTGGCCGTGAAGTTAAGATTATTCGGGACATGCGTTCTGTCCCCTATTAACAGTATAAGTTCAATGTGCTTTCATTTTCCATGGGCACTTCTGAGTAAGTTTTAAAACAGTATTTAAGAAACTAAAACTTCTTCCGTTTTCTTTTTTATCTAATAATTTCATGTACTTAGATAGCACCAAAAGGATGTCCTGGCGTACAAAATGTATTGTGTGGGACATCATCCAACGAGAATGCAATTAAAGCGGCATTTATGTGGTATCAAGCGCAAAAACGTGGTGGTAGTCCACCAACCAAAGACGATCTGGATTCATGCATGAAGCATGAATTGCCTGGTACACCAAATTTGTCAGTCTTGTCATTTGATGGGTCATTTCATGGTCGCTCATTGAGTAAGTTTTCTTTTTTTTTGGAGATTTTGAAGATCGAAGCATAAAGCACAACGAAATCTAATTAACGTATATTCAGAGTATGTTTAATTATTCGTTCGATTCACCGTACGTTTTGCCTTGAATAATCTTTTTGCTCTATGTCATTTCTGTCGCAGATATTTTTAAATAAAATTTAGGCTACATAAAAGAGATAGTAAAATGGAAAGTTAGAAATAGTGTCATAAGAGATCAAAATTTGCATAAACAGAGAAGTGGTAAAAAGAATAGAACGAAATAATTTCTGAGAAATGTAATGGCTTTAACTTAAAGCCAAAGTTATATATAAATTAACATCATATTGTGATCTGAGTTGAACAGCTCATCGCTTTTCAGCGGCTCTATCAATCACTCATTCCAAAGCAATTCATAAGGTTGATTTACCAGCTTTCCAATGGCCTGTTGCTGAATTTCCACGTTATAAATATCCGCTTGAAAAGAATGTTTCTTATAACGAACAACAGGATCAAAAATGTCTTGCGAATGTTAGTAGATTTTTTTACTTAACTTCAGCGTATATTTGTTTAAGTGGTGATCTCTGGCAATATATGTCATATTGATACCTTTTTTTTTCTTAATATATGAGTAATTAGTTTTATCAAGCCAGATACTTTAGTCATAACTGCATATCGAAAGTGTATAATATCGTATTAACAAACCACTTATTTTCCAAATCTTCTATAATAAGACAAGAATCAAATATTTAGTTGAATTAGAATACATAGCTAACTGACGTATGATGTCACAATATCTAATTTTTGAGTTTTGTCAGAAATGAAATAAAAGCGATACGAATTATTATATGCTGCAGGTAGAAGAATTAATAAAAAAATGGAAAGAAACGAAGCACGATATAGCTGCTGTGATTGTTGAACCGATTCAAGGTGAAGGCGGTGATAATCATGGATCTCCAGCTTTTTTTCAAGGTCTTCGCGATATAACTGCAAAGCATGGCGTTGTTTTTATTGTTGATGAGGTGTCTCATTTTATAATTTTCTCTTTTGTTATATGTTTTAAAGTATTATGCAATAGCAAAATGGAATGGCATAAATAGTTATGTTAACAAGGAAGGTCAGAGTTTGATTTTACTATTTCTTAAATCGACCAATCGATTATCCTCAAAAACTGACAGCATTGGAAAACTAACAACTCATATCTTGACAAATTCGAAAAATGACGAAGTAATATGTTTAAGGTTCAAACTGGTGGAGGTGGGACAGGAACCTTTTGGGCACACGACTCATGGAATCTAAGCAGTCCACCGGATATTGTTGTTTTTGCGAAAAAATTGATGGTTGCTGGTTATTTCTATGCGAACCATTTACAAATGAAAGAGGTTGGTATTATTTTATTATGTACTGTGTTCAAAATGTCATTTGTGACCTACAAAACTGTTAGTAATATTATTCAATTTAATTCTTCATAATCGTAGATTTCTCAACCGTCTTCTAATTTTGTTCGCTCAAATGGTACACGTGTTTGGTAGTTCTGCAAAATCTCTAATTACTTTGTCGACTCAGATTTTAAGTATGTTTATTTAATTTGAAAGCTTTTTAGCCGTACAGAATTTACAATACATGGCTAGGTGATCCAACAAAGGTGATTCTTCTTGAAAAGGCATTAAAAGTTATAGAAAGAGATAACTTACTGGAACAGATGCGAAAAGTTGGAGCAACAATGCAGAGTGAACTACGAAAAATCGAAGTAAATATTTTAAATATTTGGAACATATGCTAATAATAATGGTGATAAGTAAGGTTATGTTACCAGTAAGCTTATAAACCATGCGGTTGATAATATAATTATAATGAATAAAAGGCTTTCATGATATTCATAACTTTTCTTAACGGTAGTATTTTTGAAGTAGAATCTTTGAGTTATATAATTTACTTCGAAAGATGGAAGCGTAGGAATAAGAAAGGTGTACTACCAAATTGGATTATTTTCCATGAATATTATTTTTATAACTGATGATTTGAATTTAAGAGTGCTAATAATTCTATGGTACAAAATGTACGAGGTCTTGGAACATTTTGCGCATTTGATATGCCTGACCGTGTTGTTCGAGATAAATTCCTAGAAATAGCTGGAAATAATGGTATATAAGTCTGTTTGAAGTTTTCCATTTTTTTCTTTTATTTTTTAAATTTAGTTCATGACTGACCGCTTTATCGTTCGAAAGATTGCCAACTTGCTTTATGGATTATGTATGGATTTATATGCATCATTCAGTTAGTAGGCGTAATAATAATTTTAAAAAAACCCTTCAGTTGCTCACTGAAGGGCGTCTTTGTATTATTCTATATATTATAACTAAAAGAGACAAAATACTATATGAATTAAGCTTGTATAAAATGAAATCAAACTTTTGATGAATTTAAAATCTCTTCCAATTTTCTCTAGAATTTAACACAGTATGTATTATTTTCAGGTTTACTTATTGGTGGTTGTGGAAAAGCCACAGTTCGATTTAGGCCTGCACTTATTTTTACTGATAAACACCTGGAAATAACACTGGATATTATTACTAAGTCATTATCAGAACTGTGAACAGTGCTGTCTTTCAGGTAGTTACTTTTCTTTCAAAAAGGAAAAGGAAATATATAGAAAGGATTATAAATTATTCTTGATTCAGTATACATTTATAACGTATTGCTGTTATATAAGACTTATTGGGCATTCTTTTCTACTAATATAATTTCAGAAAAGGAAACTAGAATGATCTCTCAGCTGAATATTACTCTCAGGCTGTAACAATAATTAGTGGGTCGAACTTTCCATTTGAATTATTACACTAAGATAGTTATAGATATTTAGATGATTGTGGCTATCCAATATTATTTCTATGTTTTCATAAGATAATCTAAAAAATTTCTTTGGTGCATATAATGTTGTAATTTTTATTTGCATCATACATTTATTTTGGAATTTTGGTTGATTTAAGCTCTTCACTTAAACATTTATCATATTTATCATTTATTTCTTTGTGTTTATTACTTTCGCTTACAACAGTGGTTGTGATTGTTTCTTTGTTGTTGATAAACGATAATTCTTGAAATGCAAATTTGATTGTTGTTATGGCTAATTCAATTAATGGTAGATAACTTGTATAAGACGACAGTATCTCTAATGTTCTCCATTAAAGAAATTATGCACAGAACAAGTAAAAATTCTTGAAATTTGAACGAAGAAAAGTAAGTGAAAGGAATTTTGAAAAGCTCATCAGTTATTCATCGAATCATTTGATTGTTTATCATATGATATTACAAAAGTAATTTATTTATGAATGTGGTATGGTTATATTGTTATGAATTACACAGTAATTTCAGCTTATAGCCTCTATACAAAAGAAAAAAGAAATTAATTAACTTTAGGATAATTTATAAATTTTGTTGAAATGGTCGACAAACAGCAAAATGCTTCATTTTTTTGTGCAAGAAGTGGTGAACCGTTGAAATGTTTAGAATTTTTTGCTGGAATTGGTGGCTTTCATTATGCTTTAAAAGGTAAATAATTGAACATTATAGAAGTAAATATAACAACTAATGGCAAAGCTAACATTTTTGTAACATAAAGATGAAGTAATTAATCATAGTAGAAATTTTAATAAATCATTTGATTGATTAATTGTGTAAATAAAAAATATATATTAGGAATCTTCTTATTCATTCAATTAATCAATCAAATGATTTATTATATTAACTATAAGTAAATTATATTCTAAACAATTTTCAGAAATTGGATTACATCTAGTCATACGTGCGCTTGATATAAATACAGTTACAAATGCTATTTATAAGTATAATTTTCCCAATACTGAAATTCAGCAATGTAATATTGAGGTTGGTCAATTTTTTTTTTTTTTTTTTTAATTTCTTTCCTAGAGTTATTAACATTATCCACAAAGATATTTGCTGATAAAATTAAAAATGGAGGGAGAATGAATAAATATTGGATAGTATAGTGATAAAGTTTACAATAAATATCCTTCCAAAGTGTTAATTAATTTTGAAAAATTTGATTTTTTCTTCTCTTATTTGAAATATGTAAGTTATATAATAAATGCAACATTTTATCTAGCAAATTTCAATTGGTAAATGCTAATTAAAATTTTTTATCTATTATATCACTCATCCACATGTAAATTTCAGAGTTATAATATAAGATTTTGATATTGTTTGTAATATCACTGTTCATCTAACTTTTATTAACAGCAATAAGAAATGCAATGTGTTATTTTTTATGGATTGATCATTCTGATTTTACTTTTGCATGTTGTAATATAATGCAATTTTAGGTTGAAATAATACTGAACTTTGTCAATTTTCATATAAATACAGTTACAAATGAAAAATAATTCTAATATCGAAATGCATTATTTTTCATTATAGTTAATTAACTTATAGAAACTTACGACTGATTATTATGACGACTACAATGCTGATATATGGACATTGTCTCCACCTTGTCAACCATTTACAAGGTATATTTCTGATTTTGTTTGTTAATTTTTTATATAATTATATATAAGTATATAGAAAATTCAATTATTTCCCTGATCTTTTTAGTCTTTTTAACTTCTAGTTGTTTATTTTTAGTTGGTTAACACATTTAACATATGTAGTGATTGATTAAATGATTAAAATGATTATGTTTAATTCATAATATTGTATTATCTCAAATTCCAAGTAATAGTCGTTTCAAAATCCTTAGTCACTATCGTTTCTTTCTTTTTTTTTTTTTTTTTTAGATTTCTTTTAGTTCTGATCATATTTAGAGTGTATGAAAAGTTTCTAAGTGGTGCTCTATCGTTCATTTTTTATTCCATTTTCAGAAATGCATTACTTTTTTATCATATATATTTATTAAAATTAGAAAATTACAATATACCTATTTGTTGAAAATCAAATCATACAAGTGATAATTATAATCAGGAAAGGATTGAGAAAGGATGTGGCAGATCATCGTTGTAATGCACTTAAAAAGATTTGCAATGCTTTAAAGTCTATGAAAAAACCTCCTCGTTATATTATTGTTGAAAATGTTTGTGGCTTTGAAGCATCTGAAGCTCATCATTTACTCACTGATACGTTGATAAATTTATGTTACAATTTTGAGGTTTGCATTTTTTGGTTAATTTAAAACTTTGATGATGCATAGTTTATCTGAATAAACAGATTTTTATCAATATTTTCTTTTTCAGGAATATATTATTTCACCAACCAAAATTGGCATTCCAAATTCAAGACCTCGATATTACCTCTTGGCTAAACTTGCAAATAACTGTATTGCTATTCCAACAACCAGTAAAATTATCGATAATTGGCCAAAGAATGATATGACAGTTTTGCGCTCAAAAGTTATCGGTAAAATTTGTGCAAAATAATTATCTAAAATGAATATAGCTATTTCTTTATTGTGTTATATTTGTTTTCTTCTTTCTTTTTTCAACATGAAAATTTAAATATTTGACATACTAGCAAAATGATATTTGATTTGTAAATAGTTGTAAATTTAGAAAATGTTTTTTTGAAGGTGAATATTTATGCAATGAAGCTAATGAAGATAATTCTTTGGTCATTTTACCTGAAATAGTTCAACGTTTCGGAAATGTTATGTCATTTGTAACACCATATAACATTCATTCATCATGTTTCACTAAATCTTACTACCGTTATGTTACTGGTACCGGACCTATTCTACTACAATTTTCCAACAACATTCAGGTATGTGCATCAGAGTTTTTGCTTCTTAAAATTTAAAGTTAATCTTTAAAATAGTTGTTGAAATGTTAGCTTTTTAATCATATTTTGTGAAAATACTTTCAAATATGCTGATAGTAAGCTGTAAAAAAATAATACAGTGATCAAATCATTTAAAGTTTTTTTTTTTCTTTTATAAAATGTTTTAAATGAATATACAATTAGCAGCTTCTTGTATAGATATTTAATTGATTATTATGCGCAAAGCAATTAAACAATTTTGGAAATATCATACTTTTTGTAGCATCATATAGTCATTCTGATAGTAAACTATAAGTATGAACTATTGGTTGTATACAGGAATTAATATCTGTTATCTAACGTTAAAAAATTAAGTTGCATTGATACGATATTTACTTTCTACCTGACAGTTATACATTTGTAAATACTTACCATTCAATTTTATGTGCAATGATATTGTACATTTCAATATCGATTGACATTATAAAGTTTAATTTTATTTTTAGAACAAATATACAATTTAAATTTAATTACTGCAACAAAATTATAGTTTATCATTTTGTTTATTGTTATCATCGTTATTTCAGGATCAGTGTATAAGCATCGAACAGTTAAGAGATTTTGTACTCTATGATAATTGTAAAAATTTGAAGTACTGTCAAATTCGCTATTTTTCCTGGCGTGAAATAGCTAATTTGCTAGGTTTTCCTAAAACTTTTGCAAAACCATATGAAATTTCATCGAAACAAATGTATCATGCACTTGGCAATAGTATTACTGTTTCTGGTGTTGCTTTACTTATTCAACATTTATTGAAAATTTAATGTTTTTTTGTTTTTGTTTTTACTTCTATGAAATAAATAAATAATATTTTAATATTTAGTAAATATTTGTAATACATGGCTCAACAATAAATTGAAAAATGTTTCATTTTATATCCTTAAAAATATAAAATTAAATTAAATTAAATATAAAATAAAGAAAAAAAAAATATAATGCATATTAACAATAACCAACTTATCATAAAATTGTTATACATTAAAACAATAACGGTAATAATGTATGGAACTGCATTACTTCAATGAAGGTTTTCTTTTCTTTTTTGTTTTTTTCATCAACCATTAGAAATTTGGATTTTTTTTTTCGTAAATCAAACGGAATTAAAATTAAATAAAGCTAAGTTAGAATTTCTAATAGCTGATATTTATTATAATTACATGATTGTGAATACTAATACTTTAGTATAATCGTAAATATTGCGTTAAATGCATCTATCGATTTCTTTTTTTTTTTTTTTGATTTTTTAATCATGTTCAGCGGTCAAGAAAAAAATTAGTTTCCATCGCGAATTTAATTTCGTCCTCCAGAAAAGTTCAAAGTAATAAATAATTGTTTTTTTTTTTTTTTTACTCTTTTGTAATTTCAAAAATTGCTCGTTCATTCGTTTCATCGAAAATTTATAAATGTCTTTGATCATAACGAGTTAAAATCATAGTGAGATATTATGTTGATGTAATCATAATTTTTTATTTATTACTTTTTCATGTTTAACTGATCAATTTATTTTATCATCTATTAGTCTAATTATATACATAATTATATAAATCATAAGAACATCTCAAGCAGTTATTATATTTAAAGATAGAGTACTTTTTGAAAAGTGTTAAATGATAAAATTAAAACTTAATAAAATAAGTGTTAAATGATAAAATTTAATCTTAGTAGAATGATTAAGGTGCTGATTTAATTATGTTGAAATTGTCGTACAAATTTGTTTGTGAAATATTGCACCCCAAAATGTTACGATTATTTGAATTTAAACAATTAATCAAAAATTGGAATAAATTTGGAGGAATCGAAGAAAGCAAAAAAAGAGAATGTAGTTATTATGAATGTTATGAATTATTTAATTTATTCAAGACATTCATTACTGCTTAATTATAATGATATATGTTTAACGCATTTATGAATTTATAAACAGTTCATTAATGGATAATCAAATTACAATAATATTTTAAAATAATAAATTAAAAAATATTTCAACGACGTTTGTACGATTTACGAATTAAAAACATTTTTTACGATTTTAATAAATTATAAACCCAACAAATACAAGCATATACGCGTCATTTTCTTATACCATAGATGTGTATAAATGATAATTAAAATGAATAATAAAGTCAATCAAATATGTAAACTCTCCTGTCATTATTGTCATTATTATTATTATTATTATTATTATTAATTAACAACTAGTCTTGTTACTATCATCATCATTAATATTATTCATTCTCGTAAATACATTAATCTTTTTTAACTTCAATGGAATACTTTTGTGGTGCACCATTGGGTCCTTCAAAAAGTAGCACCGTTGAATCACGCTCTTGAAAATTTCGAATGCGAAATTTGCCACGTGAGTAATACACTCGTCCCTCATAAAATTTTATCTAAATTTAAAAAATTAATTTTCATAAAATGCATTTTCTATTGTGTTTTACAAATGATCTTGCATACATATATATTATGATGAATTAATATATAAATTATGACTGATCAACTAATCAAGAAATTTTAATAATAATAAAAATAATAACTGATAATGGTAATAATAATAATAAAAATAACAGTAATAATAATAAATGATAATGGTAATAATAATAATAATAACTGAGAATGGTGACAATAATGATAGTAATAACTGATAATGGTAATAATAAAAATAACAATATAGAAATGATAATGATTCTAAGAATGTAGGAAAGGTTTCATGTCTAAGATGCTAATTGATTTGAACATTTGAACTTGCTGTTGTTGTAGAAGATATCTTTTGGAGAAGAAAAAAGAAGCAAAAAGTTTTGTTAGAAATAAAATTATTTATTAAAAATGCTAAAATTCAATTAAACTAACTAAAGTTAAAAGCACAAAAACTTTTAAATAATTTCATTGCAATTCAAGAATAAAATTAAGTTAATTATTCAAAAAAAAATGAGAAAAAATTATTTAAATACCAAATGAAAAGTATTAATTTGAAATAATTCACATTATGTCAATCAAAAAAAAAAAACTAATAATTAAAAATTTTTTGCTAATTATATCAAATGAGAAATAATTTTGGTATTGTCAATGAAGTTATACAATAATTGATAATTATGCTAATGAAATTTAATTAAGCTAAGCAAAGAATTGAATAAATTCATTACCGCTTCTCGAACTAATCGTCCATTTCGAATAATCATCATTGATTGTTCATTAAATTTATCATTTTTTGGAAAAAATGCAATAGCATTACGAATTTTAAATCCAAAATCAATAATTTGTGATCCATTAATTGGAATGTAAATACGAACATTTCTTGCACCTTTTAATTGCTTCTCATTTTCAGCCAAAACAAAGAAAAAGCAAAAGAATGAAATAATAATTATTTGAATCATTTAAAATTTCTGAAATAAAAATAAAAATGAAAAATAATAATAATTGAAGTAATGATTTTTATACAAAATTGAGAAATTTTAAATTAATTAAAACACAAAATATAACAAAAAAAAAAAAAAAAAGAGCAATGCTATAACAGAAATCAAAAAGTTTAATTAATATATTTTTGTGATATTATTTGAATAAATAAATTCATTTTTTTAAAAAAAATTTTTATGGAATTGTTTAAAAATTTTTGTATAACTGAAAATTAGAAAAATTTTTTCGAAATAAATAGTTAATAGTTAGCTATTATTTTTTGAACAATTTGTGATTGTTTATTATTTTATTTATTTTGTTTGCTTTAGTTTTTCTCACCAATAAATGATTGATTCATCATTATAATCGGATGAAAGAAAAATAAAAACAATTTTTTTGAATTTTTGAAAGTAATCAGAATTTTTTTTCCTATTCATACAATTTTCAGATATTATAAATATTGCTGCAATGATTAATTATACTTTTAACTTTAACAATTAAAACTAACAAACACAAATAAATTAATTATAATTTATTAATTAAATTGATAATTACATTTATTTCATTACCAACTTTCTTCCTTTTTCATTTTAAATCAGCTCTTCAAATTTTTACTAAATTAATTGCTTTGTTTTCTCACTTTTCAAATAAAATTTAATTAAATTAAATACATAATTGCATTTATTATCAATTACATATAAATTAGATACACAATTGTTTTTATCAAAAATACAAATTTTTAAAAACAATTTTTTATTGTATTTTTTCTAATTAAATTGGATGCATAATTACATTTATTTGAATTACATTTATGTTTTTCATTTAGAAATTGAAAATGATAAGAAAAATGCAATGTTTGATTTCTTATTCAAATTTATGAAGTTGCAGCAATTTTTAAATTTGAGATATATATATTTTAATTAATTTAATTTATTTTACATTTAATTAATCAGACTAATCCTTAAAAAAAATTTTTTTTTTTTGATATTAATTAATTAAAGGAAAAAATTTTAAAATTTTCACACTAAATGATTGAATATGCATAAAATTACTGTGATATTTATTAAATGTTTCCTGTTAATTTATAAAATTTTAAATTAGTTGAAATCAATTTAAATTTTTTTTTTTGTAATTTGATGTAAAAATAGTATTTATACTTTTTCGCAAACAATAATTATTAATTCATTTTGTATATATTAAATTTCTTAGACTAACTTTATTAGCTTATTTTAGCTTATCGTAGATATTTATACGTTTTAATTCAAACATAATATCCGATTGAAATTTTATTTTTAAATTCTAATCAGAAGGTGGTGGCAAAATGAGCAAATAATTTTATTTCATTTTTTTTCTTTCCTTCTTTCTTTGTTTTTTGCTTTTTATTATTACTGCAATAATTCATATATTTCTTTTTTTTTAGTTAAAATACTTTTTTGTCATAATTTTTCGATCATTTTTCAAAAAAATCAAATGAAATTATTTAACAAAGTAATAAATTTCAAAATTACAATAACCAAATTTAAATTCATTCATTGTTACTAATTTAAATTTGATCCCAATTAAATAATTTTTAATGTGATGTTTTTGCATATTTTATTTTTTGTTTATCTAATTTTTTTTTTCTTTAATATTTTATTTTTGATATTATAAAATTTATTTCATAAAATTGCAATTTCTGATAATAAATTTATATTTTTAATTTTTAAGTGAATTTTTTCTCTGCAATTTATTTTAATTTAACTATAATTTCTTGTGTGTTTTTCGTTTTCTTGCTTTCATAAATTTAACATTAAAAAATTATTATAATTTTCCCATAGTTTAAAAAAAAAACAATCATTCCTAAAAAATTATGATTTTGATAAATTTGAAAATTTTGACACAGAAAACTAAATTATATTTTAAATTATATTTTCAATTTATTTTAATTTGATGTAATTCCAACTGAATGGAATGAATTTAGTTTCCTTTTTGAATATTTATTTAATTTTTCAAAATTTTCTGCTACGTAAATTTTTTTTAATTGTATTAATTCTAACTTAAGCGTTGTTAAATATTTTTATTGAACAAATAAAATTTTTGCTCAAATATGCAATTTTAATAAAAAAGCTGATTTAAATTCAATTTTGTTGAAAAAATCAAATTTTTAATTAGGTTTGGATTATTCATATTTCTTATTTAAACGATAAATATTGGTTTTAAGTTTGGCAATTTTGAATTTTAAAAGTGATTTATTGTTTAATAATTATAAACTGTAGAAGGTAGTTGTTGGATTGAGATGATAAATTGACAAATATAAAATTTTTTAGGCAATAAAATGATTTGAAAAGAGCACGAATGGATCAATAAAATGTTTGATAAATGTAATTGAAATTAACTGAAAATTCGAAATAACTATAAATTAAAATAGTTGGTCAAAGTACTTTATTATCTGTTACATATTCAGAAGAATTATGAATGAAAATTATTAGTTTCAGAATATCCACAAATTTCACTTATTTCTTTTTCTTTGACATTTTAAATGATTATTTATTTAATTTTTTTTTTCAAATTTCAAGGTGCATTTAAATAATTTTGTAATTTAAATGAACTAACTGTGTTGTGGCGGATATTTTTGATAGAAGAAAGTACATTTTATTTGTAAGAAAAAATTTTGAATCCAAAAATTCAAATTATTTACATAGGTGCAATTGCTAGTTCATTTAATTGACGTCCTTCTTCTCAATCCTACTTTTTCAATCTTTAATTTAATTTCATGAAAGTTTCTAAAGTAGAAAAAAAAAAATTTACTTCACAATTTCTCTTTTTCGTTTCTTTTTTTTTTTTCTTGGCAAAACTGTAAAAAGATTCGTCATTATGTAAAATGGAGAGAAAAAATTAAAATTAAAAAATGAATTTATGCTGAAATATGTCAATTTGTCAACTGAAAAGAAGAAAAGAAAAAAAAAAAGCCAATTTTTTTGTTCTTTTCAGTCATTTCATTTGATTATCTTTTGAATAAAAATGTTTATTTTTATAAAATTAATTTTTGTTCAAATCAAATATTTTCTTTTATATTTGTGCAAAAATATATTCTCAAACTTTTATATATTGATTAATTATTGAATTATTATAATTTAATTATAATATATATTGAATAATTATTATATATATTGATTAATTATTATTAAACTAAATCTATAAATGTACTTTTATTTGTAAAAAGCAAAAACCAAACAAATTTAAAATGAATTTTTAAAAATTTTAGCTTATTGAGATAATCTCATCAGCAAATTTTCATTAATAATAGATGAAAATAGCAAAATCATTGTTATTATTATATATTTTTTTGCATTTTCTCACAGATTTTTTTTATTCAAAAAATTTTTTCACACTATTTTGTAATATATTTTATTTTTTTATTTTTTATCATTATTTTTTATCACTTTTTTTTTTTTGAAATGCGAAAATACTTGAATAATAGATCAAAATTATAATTGTTAAATTTCAATTTTCAATAATTATTAATACTGTAAATAAGGCTTGCTTTGTAAATTTGAAATTTGAAATTTTAAAAACTTTTTTTTTTTAATTTATTATATTGTTATACGATTATATCAAATAATTGGCGACATAGACAGTAAACAACAGGTGTAACTATAACTTTGATTGAATTTATAAATGTGATTCACTTTTAATAATAAAAATTTTAACAGTTAAATTTCTATCATAGAAAAATGCTTTAAAATATCAGTGATAAAAAATGCTATGAAATGATAACTTTACATTTGATATTTCATGAAATGCTATAATAATTAAAAATATTATTGAATTTTCACAATAAATAATTTGTCATTATAAAAGTGAATCAATAATATAACTATTGATTTTTTCAAATAATTGTATAACTTATTGATATAATAAATGATTAATTAATTTGTCAAATTGCCTTTGCATCTATCAAATTTTTAATCTAAATCAATTAATTTAACAAATCACGTATGAATTACTTTTACTTATTTAATATCAATTTCATTTTATTCTTTTCGAATTAAGATTAAATTGAAAAAATTCTGCAAGAAAAATGACCACTTGTTACTAATCACTTGCTATTAGTTATCTGCTACTAGTTATCTGGTACAAGTTACCTGCTATTAGTTACCTGGTACAAGTTACCTGCTGCTAGTTACTTGGTACAAGTTACCTGCCATTAATTACCTGATACTAGTTACCTAATACAAGTTACATGCTATTAATTGCCTGCTACTATTTACCTGGTACAAGTTACCTGCTACTAGTTACCTGTTACTGGTTCTTGCTACTAGTTACCTGGTACAAGTTATATGCTGCTAGTTACTTGGTACAAGTTACCTGCCATTAATTACCTGATACTAGTTACCTAGTACAAGTTACATGCTATTGGTTGCCTGCTACTATCTACCTGGTACAAGTTACTTGCTACTAATTACTTGGTATAAGTTACCTGTCACTAGTTACCTGCTACTAATTACCTGCTATTAGTTACCTGCTATTTGCTACTAGCTTCCTATTTGTGTCATTTTGATCAAAGAAGCAAATCGCTTTTTTTTTCCTTTTAATTGTCAAAATCATTTTAGCCATTAATACTGCAAATTAATCAGAAATTGTTTTTCAAGAAAAGAGACAAAAACAAAGTATCATTTGTGTTTAAATCAATGTACTGCTATTAATTTTAATCCATTTAAAAATTCAGCAAATATTTTTAGAAATATTTTGCAGCAATAATAATTTTATCACTAATAACACAAAGGAGAGCGAAAGAAAAGTCATTGAATTACTTAAATTTACTTAAATTTAATTTTATATTTTAAATTTCAATCAAATCATTGTTACATTAATAATAAATTTTAAATTTCAATTTTTAGTTCAGAGGTCAAAAAAAAAAGTGTAATGCAAAAAATTTGCTTCAAATTTTTATTTAACTAATTGCATTTCTAATTTCTGATCATGTAATTAACCAGTTCTT